CTCTGTGAGATGGGATGATGAAAATACTCACCCATGCACCTGCCTCTCCTAGGAGGGCGGCCAGGATCCCGTGCGCATGTGCAAATGGAAATTTCCCATTCATTAGCGACAGCGGGGCCCGGCTCTTCCTTAAGGAGCCTTCTGACCACGTTGCATCTTTATTTTTATTTTGATTTTTATGTCTTACTTTATTTTTTGAGACAGAGTCTCACTCTGTCTCCCAGGTGGGAGTACAGTGGTGCAATCTCCGCTCACTGCAACCTCCACCTCCAGGGTTCAAGCGATTCTTGTGCCTCAGCCTCTGGAGCAGCTGAGACTACAGCTTCACACCACCATGCCGGCTAATTTTTGTATTTTTAGTAGAGGCGGGGTTTCACATGTTGGCCAGGCTGGTCTCGAACTCCTGATCTCGAGTGTTCCGCTCGCCTCTCAAAGTGCTGGGATTACAGGCCTGAGCCACTGCGCCCGGTCATACATCTGTAGATGTTGGGTTTTCTTTTTTTTTTTTTTCTGAGACGAAGTCTCGCTCTGTCTCCCAGGCTGGAGTGCAGTGGTGCGATCTCAGCTCACTGCAAGCTCCGCCTCCTGGGTTCAAGCGATTCTTGTGCCTCAGCCTCTGGAGCAGCTGAGACTACAGCTTCACACCACCATGCCGGCTAATTTTTGTATTTTTAGTAGAGGCGGGGTTTCACATGTTGGCCAGGCTGGTCTCGAACTCCTGATCTCGAGTGTTCCGCTCGCCTCTCAAAGTGCTGGGATTACAGGCCTGAGCCACCGCGCCCGGCTGATGTTGGGTTTTCTTAATGTGAGATTCACCAGCAATGTGGTCACACCACGTTAGGGGCAGGGCACAAAACTAGCCTAGCTGTGCCAGGGCCTCCCACCCACTGCCTGAGGCCTGCAGGGCCCACCCCCTGCCTGGCAGTAGTAAAGCAGAAGAGTCCTCTCTCCATGGACTCCACCGTCCTGGCCCTTTAAGGTTCCAGCCCAGCAGGCCTGGAATTCCGGCCCTGGTGACCTAAGCTGCTGCTCAGCCAAGCCGGCTGGGAGAGGACAGACCCAGCTACGGGAGCCTGGAAGCTCAAAGCTGGAATTGAAAGAACTGCCTGAGGCCGGGCGCGGTGGCTCAAGCCTGTAATCCCAGCACTTTGGGAGGCCGAGACGGGCGGATCACGAGGTCAGGAGATCGAGACCATCCTGGCTAACACGGTGAAACCCCGTCTCTACTAAAAAACACAAAAAACTAGCCGGGCGAGGTGGCGGGCGCCTGTAGTTCCAGCTACACAGGAGGCTGAGGCAGGAGAATGGCGTAAACCCGGGAGGCGGAGCTTGCAGTGAGCCAAGATCCGGCCACTGCACTCCAGCCCGGGCGACAGAGCGAGACTCCGTCTCAAAAAAAAAAAGAAAGAGCTGCCTGAGACCTGGGGTCCCCACTGCGTGGACCTCCTCCCCATGACTCTGCACATGGTGACATGGCCCAGCTGACCCGCCTCCCACCTGGGGAGCTTATGGTGGACACTGGGCCAGGAGCTCAGAGTCCTCAGTCCTTAGGCCATACCTGGTGTCCCCAGCTCTCTCATGTACACAGGCTGAGTTTGCAGGATTGGACGTTCAGGACAAGATGGGATGGCACAGTCATCACCATCCCGTATTCTGCCCTCAGCTAGCCTTGGGGCTGGGGACCCTCCAGGTTTTGGGAGCTTCACTGTGGAGGCGGCAGAACATAGGGTCGAATGTTGACTTTGGGATCAGACATGGCTGTGTGATTTTAAACAAATAACGTAACCACTCTGGCCTTGTCAGGCTGGAAGTTTCCAGAGCCAAAGAGTTGCTTTGCCTCCCCAACCCCCACCACCACCTCCACAATTCCAGACACAAAGAGCCTGTGGAGAGGGGTTAGCCTCAGAAACCCCTCCTTGGTATTCTCTCCAGGAGAAGGACAGAGTGCTCGGGGTCTGGGCAAAAGCCGTGGAGCCCACCCTTATAGTCAGAGGCTGCCCTGAGTCTGTTCCATGCACCAAGGAGCCAGCGCTGTAGGGAAAGAGAGTCTGGAGGGGCGGACATCATGCTGCTTGCAGGTGGCTACTCAGAGTGTGTTTTGTTTTGTTTTATTTTGTTTTTTGTTTTGTTTTGTTTTGTTTTGTTGGTTTGCTTTGGTTTGGTTTTAGAGACTGGATCTTGCTCTTGTTACCCAGGCTGGGGTGCAATGGCATGAACATGACTCACTGCAGCCTTGACCTCCTGTGCTCAAGCAATCCTCCCACCTCAGCCTCCCAGCCTCCCAGGTAGCTGGGACCACAGGCATGCACCACCACAATCAGCTTATTTTTTTAATTATTACTTTTTGTAAAGATGATGTCTCACCATGTTGCCCAGGCTAGTCTCAAACTCCTGGGCTCGAGCGATCCTCCTGACGGATCCCAAGGTGCTGGAATTGCGAGCAGGAGCCAAGGCGCCCAGCCTTATTTTGTTTTGCCTTTTTAACAGCTTTATCGACCTGTAATACACATACCATACAACTGATCCATTTTAAGTGTCCAATTCAGTGGTTTTTAGTATATTCACAGAGTTATGTATGCACCCCAACAACCAATGTGAGAACATTTTTATCACCTAAAAAAAAAATCCCATACTCTTAGCTACCACCCCTCCATCCCTGATCCACCCCCACACCTGGCCCGAGGCAGACACTTACCTCCTTTCTGTCTCTATAGATTTCCCCATTGTGGACATTTCATATAAACTGAATCACAAATATATGGCCTTTAGTGACTGGCCTTTTTCACTTAGCATGTATTCAAGGTTCATCCATGTTGTTGCAAATATCAGTACAGTTGGCATCTTTATCCATAGGTTTCACATCTATGGATTCAATGAACCGTGGATCAGAAATACTCAGGGACCAGGCACTGTGGCTCATGCCTGTACTCTTGGGAAGCTGAGGCAGGCAGATGACTTGAGGTCAGGAGTTCGAGACCAGCCTGGCCAACATGATAAAACCCCATCTCTACCAAAATTACAGAAATTTGCCTGGCGTGGTGGTGGGCACCTGTAATCCCAGCTATTCGGGAGGCTGAGGCAGGAGAATCACTTGAACCCAGGAGGCGGAAATTGCAGTGAGCCAAGATCACAGCACTGTATCCCAGCCTGGGTGACAGAGCAAGACTCCGTCTAAAAAAAAAAAGGAAAAGAAAAAAAAAACTCAGGAAAAGAAAATGAATGGTTGTATCTATACTGAACATGTACAGATTTTTTTCTTGTCATTATTCCCAAAACAATACAGTGTAACAACTATTCATATGGCATTTGTATTTTACTAGGTATTGTAAGTGATCTAGAGATAATTTAAAGTATATGGGGGGATTGTGTAGGTTGTGTGCAAATACTATGCCGTTTTATATAAAGGACTTGAGCATCTGTGGATTTTGGTGTCCACAGGGAGTCCAGGAACCAATCCTCATGGATACTGAGCAATGGCCCTCCTTGTTTTTATTTATTATTAAGTAATATTCCATTGTGTGGATATATCTCATTTTGCTTATTTAGTTATCCATTGGTGGACTTTTGAGTTATTTTCACCTTTTTGGCTCTGATGAATAATGCTATAAACATTTGCATATAAGTTTTCCTGTAGACATATGTTTTCATAGCTCTTGGATGTACGCCTAGAAGTAGAATCGCAGGGTCGTATGGTAAGTTGATGTTTAATCTTTGGAGGAGCTATCAGACTTTTCCAAAAGCAGCTACACCATTTCACATTCCCGCCAGCAGTGCATGAGGATTCCAGTTTCTCCACATACCGCCAACCCTTGCTATTGTCTGTGTTCTATTTTTAGCTATTCTAGTGAGTGTGAAGTGGTATTTCATTGTGGTTTTGATTTGCATTTTCCTGATGACAGTTGATATTGAGTTTTTTCATGTGCCTATTGGCCATTTCTTGGAGAAGTGTCTGTTCAGATCCTTTGCCCATTTTGTTTGTTTGTTTGTTTGTTTGTTTGTTTGTTTGTGACAGAGTCTTGCTCTATCATCCAGGCTGGAGTGCAGTGGTGCAATCTCAGCTCACTGCAACCTCTACCTCCTAGGTTCAAGCAGTTCTCCTGCCTCAGCCTCCTGAATAACTGGGATTACAGGCACACACCACCACGTCCAGCTAATTTTTGGTGTTTTTAGTAGAGAGGGGGTTTCACCATGTTGGCCAGGCTGGTAAGGAGATAAGGAGCTCCTTATCTCAAGTTATCTACCCGCCTCGGCCTTCCAAAGTGCTGGGATTACAGGCATGAGCCACTGCACCTGACCTGCCCGTTTTTTAAATGGTTTCCTGGTCTTTTTATTATTGAATTGCAAGATAGACTTGTATATTTCAGATAGAAGCCCCTTATCAGATATAGGATTTGCAAATATTTTCTCCCATTCTATGGGTTGTCCTTTACTATGATATCCTTTGAGACACAAACGTTTTTAATTTTAAGTCTGATTTATCTGTATTTGCTTTTGTTGCTCTACACTTTTGGTACATGTCTTGGTGTGTGTTTTTAACGTAATACTTCTCCCCACGGAAGAAATGAGGCAGGAGGGGCTGTTGGGCTGGACTGAGTGGTTCCGGTGGGCTCAGGGTGGCCCTGGGGTTCCTTTTGACAGGGAACTGAGGCCCTGTCCGCTTCCTGAACCATGGGCCTCTGGAGCCCACCAGGACTCAGTTCTTTGTTATTGAACACTCAGCCAGCTTAGGGCTGGGAAAGCAGTTTCAACAAGGACTTGCTCCCTGGTCAGATCGACACAGCTGAGATATGAGAATCAGGGCTCTCGACACAGGTGAGCCTGGCTTGGAATCCCGGGAATGTCACCAAGTGGCAGGGGCACATGGGAAGGACACTTCGTCTTTCTGAGCCCTGTTTTCTCACCTGTTACAAAGGTGACAGTGGTGATGCCACTTCTCAACACTCAGGCATCTGGAGGGGACAGCTGGGGTCTTGGGAACTAACTCTCTCCTTTATCCCCAGCCATGAAAGCTGACCGGAAGCGCTTAAAGGGCGAGAAGACGGACCTGGTGAGCCAGATGCAGCAGCTGTATGCCACACTGGAGAGCCGCGAGGAGCAGCTCCGAGACTTCATCCGCAACTATGAGCAGCACCGCAAGGTCAGCCGCCGCCCTGCCCTGTCCTGCCCTGCCCTGTCCTGCCCTGCCCTCCCCTCCCCTCCCCTCCTGACACACCAGCTCCCACCTCCCCTGCTGGCTGGCCACCTTCACAGGGTCTGCCTCTCGAATCCCCAAACACAGATAGGGAGGCCTTTGATGTGTCCAGCCAGGCCTAGGCACCGAGATCAAACCAGCTCAGCCCCCGGAGGGGGATCTCCATGTCTCCTGGGCAAACAGGACAGCATGAACTCAGGAGTCCAGAGGGTTCAGATCCCGGCTCCTCGTGTGTGTGCCCTTGTGCATCTCCCTTGACTTCTCAGAGCCTCAGTTTCGTCTCTGCAGAATGGTGATTGTGGTGGACCTTTCAAAGCTACAGTAAGGACTCAATGAGATGATGAATGCCGAGCACTCAGCCTGGTGCGTGGCACGTAGGAAGCATCATCAATAAGATGCATAGCTAACATTTACTAACACTGTAAAAAAAGTGTGAAGAGAGAGCTGGGGAGCCCCAGTGAGACAGCAGGAAGTTCTGCCTATGGGGAGGGAGTCTTGGAAGGCTTCATGGAGGAAGTGACATATGCACTGGGCTCTGTGGGGTGAATAGCAGTTTATGGGTCAGATAACTGAGGAATTTGTTTCACCATGTATCTCTCTGGTATCTGTGGTATGACATGCCAAAGAGGACAGCAAAACTTTAAAAAGGGTCAGTCCCCTGGCCAGGCACGGTGGCTCACGCCTGTAATCCCAGCACTTTGGGAGACCCAGGTGGGTGGAATGCTTGAGGACAAGAATTCGAGACCAGCCTGGCCAAAAGCCCATCTCTACTAAAAATACAAAAATTAACTGGACGTTGTGGTGCATGCCTATAGTCCCGGCTATTCAGGAGACCGAGGCACGGAATCACTGGAACCCAGGAGGTGGAGGTTGCGCCACTGTACTCCAGCCTCGAGCTGAATGCACCTCCAGCCTCTGTTTTCTGCCCTGTGGAGGCACCTTGGTCATAGCCCTGTCACAGGGTGTTCAGCTCGAGGCTCCTTTTCTGAACAGTGGGAAGCAGCAGGCAAGGTGAATGAGCCCTTCCCAGATGCTGCCTCTGAGCGGAGTTAAGAGACCAGAGTGTTCCAGGCTGGATTGGAATCTAGATGCTTGGCCCCCACCACCCACTTTGGTCTTCACCAGTGATTGCTCACTGTCACCTCCCGGGCACGCACATCACTTCCTTTCTATGATGAAAGGAGCCCCAAGAGTTCTCTGGGCCAGGCCGCCACAGCCCCTGACGGGGATCTGGGACTTCTAGCTGCTCTCAGTGCCCAACTTGAGCGCAGGACCCGGCTCCCCCATCCTGCCTACCTGTCCCACCCACCCCCGCCACCCTGCCTGCTCGGCCCTGCCCTCCCCTGCCCTGCCTGCCCAGCTCCCCCTGCCTGGCCTGCTCCACCCGGCTCCCCCTGCCCTACCTACTCAGCCCAGCCCTCCCCTGTCCTGCCCGCCCAGCTCCCCCTGCCTGGCCTGCTCCACCCTACTCCCCCTGCCCTGCCTGCTTGGCCCAGCCCTCCCCTGCCCTGCCTGCCCAGCTCCCCCTGCCCTGCCTGCTCGGCCCAGCCTTCCCCTGCCCTGCCTGCCCAGCTCCCCCTGCCCTGCCTGCTCGGCCCAGCCTTCCCCTGCCCTGCCTGCCCAGCTCCCCCTGCCCTGCCTGCTCGGCCCAGCCTTCCCCTGCCCTGCCTGCCCAGCTCCCCCTGCCCTGCCTGCTCGGCCCAGCCTTCCCCTGCCCTGCCTGCCCAGCTCCCCCTGCCCTGCCTGCTCGGCCTGGCTCCCCTTCATGTTAGATGAACTGAGCCTCCCCATGCCTGCTACAGGCAAACGGTTTGGCAGGAAGGGGACGACCCAGAAGCGAGGCAGAGGGAGGCAGGGGAGCCCGCAGAGGCTGCTTTCTCAGACTGTGGCGTGAGCCCGCAGAGGCTGCTTTCTCAGACTGTGGCGTGGGAAGCAGCTCGTGGGCCTGGGGTCTGCTCCTTAGGGCGAGGCTCTCTCAGCAGCATTGCCTTTGGCCACCAGCAGAGAGTCAGAGGCCAGGGGCTCAGAGTGACCTCCATGCAGAGGGAGGGGTAGGGGACCCGGCTCTCCCGTCTGATGATGCAGGCACACGTGTATGCTCCCAGGCGCGTGCTGTGGGAGTTACAGCGTGTACTTCAAGGGCTTCTCAGAGCCTCGTGTGTGTCCATTCATTTAACACCCACACGGACACTGGGGGGCATATGGTTATCCTCCCATTTCACAGATGAGCCGACAGACACAGAGAGGGGAGATAACTCATCCACAGTCATGCAGCCAGTGATGGCAGGGCAGGGGCTTACAGGGCCTGGGTGCAGAGCCTGCGTGCCTTCCCCCTGCGCTGTGCGCCTCTTCCCCCAACCCCATCACCCCCTGGCACTCAGCACAGCATCTTCTGTTTGCCTCTGCTCCCTGCCTCCCCTTCTGTGTCCACCTCTCTCATTTCTCCATCCTCAGCCCAAGGAGCTTGGTTTTTTTTCAGTGGGCAAGGCAGGGAGAGCCTCTGCCTGAGCAGCCCCATGCCCAGGAGCATGGAAAGCTAGTTACCTCTTGTTTTTTCAGAATGGGATACAGTGGGGCCAGAGAACTAGCCCACAGCCTTCAGTGATGTGCTGGCCCCAGGGCAGGAGACAGGCTCCAAGCTGACCCTTGTACTTGTCCCCCTAGCCACCAGCTTCCTCCTCCTGGGACCAGGGTTGCACAGAGATTAAGAGCAGACAGCTAGGTTAGAATCTCACCTCTGCACTCGCTAGGGGGTGGCTCGGGCAAACAGATGACTCTCCCTGGTCTCAGCCTTCACATCTGCAAAGCAGGATAAAGATTGCAACTACTCACAGCCCAGTGCCGTCAGCGCTAAGGTTCCCAGGGCATGAAAAGCAAGGGGAAGTAGGGGCATATGCCTGCTGCTGTTATTGTCGTTATCATTATTATCATTATTGCCTTCGTGGATTTGGAGTCAGCCATTTGATCATGAAATTCCCACAGTGGATTTCGAAGCCCCTCTGCTGTCCCCTCACCTGCCACTCCCTGGTGTTGGTCTCATTGGCAAACCCAGAGAAGGAAATGAAGGTCCCAGGTGGGCAGGAGTGGAGCTGTGGCTGGTCCCACACAGACGCCAGTCGTAGGCCTGCTTTCTGGGAAAAGGTTGGAGAGGCAAGACCTGTGCAGAAAGGAACCCAGACAAGACCTTCTGGGAGGGACAGAGGGTCTCAGAGGACCCAGGAATCGGGAGCTAGAAGAAGGAGCTCCCTGAGAACGCATGCCCTGAAGGAGGACAAATCAGGATTTAGAAAAGCAGCCAGTTATGGTGGCTCACGCCTGTAATCCCAGCACTCTGAGAGGCCAAGGTGGGAGGATCACTTGAGCCCAGGAGCTCCAGACGAGCCTGGACAACAGAGTGAGACCTCCATCTCTACAAAAAATTTTAAAAATTAGCCGGCCGGGGTGGCACACGCCTGTAGTCCCAGCTACTTGGGAGGCTGAAGCAGGAGGATTGCTTGAGCCAGGGAGGTTGAGGTGGCAGGGAGCCAAGACTGTGCCACTGCACCCTAGCCTGGGCAACAGAATGAAACCCTATCTCAAAAAAAGAAAAGAAAGAAAGAAAAAAAAGCAAGAGGGTGCTGAGCAGAGTCCAAGAGGATCCAAAAGATGGCACTGTTACCAGGTAATCGTCCTGGCAAGGATGGTGGTGACGGCTGCCTTCAGAAGCCACCTCAGCAGGAGCTGGCATGAACATAGTATTACCTATAGCAAATGTTTATTGTGCACCTACTGTATACAGGCATGCACATGGTATTACCAATACCAAACGTTTGTTGTGCACCTGCTGTATACAGGCATGAACGTGGTATTACCGATAGCAGATGTTTATTGTGCACCTACTGTATACAGGCATGAACATGGTATTACCAATACCAAACGTTTGTTGTGCACCTACCGTATACAGGCATGAACATGGTATTACCGATAGCAGATGTTTATTGTGCATCTACCGTATACAGGCATGCACATGGTATTACCAATACTAAACGTTTGTTGTGCACCTGCCGTATACAGGCATGAACATGGTATTACCAATAGCAGACGTCTATTGTGCACCTACTGTATACAGGCATGAATGTGATATTACCAATATCTGATGTTTATTGTGCACCTACTGTATACAGGCATCAACGTGGTATTACCAATAGCAGATGTTTATTGTGCAGCTACTGTTTAAGGCATGAACATATTACCAACAGCAGATGTTTATTTTGCACCTGCTGTATGCAGGCATGAACATGACAAGTAACAGGCATCTATTGTGCACCTACTGTATACAGACATGTATGTGATATTACCAGTAGCAGATGTTTATTGTGCACCTACTGTGCACACACACTGCCCTCATCTCTTCACATTTGCTACTTTAATAGCAATCCTTTGAGGAGTGATTGTCCCTATTCCCCCCATTTAACACGTGAAAACTAAGACTGAGGTAAAGTCTCAGGCCCAGGGCCACATCATTATGGAAAGGGTAGAGGCAGGGTGCAAACCCAGGAGGTCTAGTCCCAGAGCCCCAGCCCCAGAGCTCATAGGACTGGACCTTGCCCAGGCTACCCTCCCCAGACCACTCAGTACATGTTCAGAGGAACAAAGGAATGATTCCCACTGTATGCCATTTTCAACAACCCAAGGCCGACCACAGAGAGGAGGTCACAGCTGTCCCCATGAGCTGTGTGTGGGTAGAGCGCTGACTATTTCAGTGACCAGCCTAGCATTTCATACCAGTGCTTCTCTGTGTCTTTTAATGATATGTCAAATTTGTTTTTTAAAATTGTTTGGGCAAAAATGGTACATTTTCATGGGGTACATAATGATGTTTGGATCCATGGGATGTATAGTTATCAGATCAGGGTAATTAATATATCCATCTCAAAGTGTTACATCCAGCTCAGATTTGGCAATAAAATTCCCATGGAGAGCACCGTGTCATGTTTTAAGTCGTAGGTGACTAGGGGCATCCCCCAAGTCTGACCGGCAGCTGGGGTGGGGTTGACACTACTGAATAGAAGCCCCGTGGCTGTGGCTGCCAGGGTCAGCTCCCTGTGGCCACAGCTGAGCAGCCAGTGCCACTTTTATTGATCGGCTTCATCATGCCCTTCAGGTTCATTTAGAAAAATGAAACTTGGAAAACACTCATTTATTAAAAATTAATACTTTAATACTAAGATGTTAATATTAGAAGTAGAGAGAGTCGCTCCTGTAGGTCCGGCAGATCGGTGGAATAGCAACATTCAAACATTATTTTAGTCATTGTTGGGTCCAGCCCCATTTTACAGGTGGGAAGGCTGAGGTCCACAGGGGTCAAGTGACTGACCCAAGGACACATGTTTAGAGCCAGTTTGGCAAAACTGAAGCCACAAGTCCTGGTTGTATTTCACCTCTTCCAAGATCTTGCAGCTGGTTATCAAAAATGATTTGCATTTTATGTGCAAAATAAATGTCCTCCTGGAACAGGATGACTGGAACCCTCAGGTTCCCTGGCCCACTCGGCTGTGCCCACTCAGTCCGCCGTGGCCCACCCAATTTCTCCATGAGACCCCTGCAGGACTCCACGGGAGCAGGCAACAGGAAGGACCCCAGGCCCTGAGCTACTGGGGGTAGGGGAACGGCACAGGAGGAACAAGGCTGCTGAGAAAGGAGGGGTCTTGGCCTGTCCAGAATGTGGCCGATGACCGGGCATGGTGGCTCACGCCTGTAATCCTAGCACTTAGAGAGGCTGAGTCAGACAGATCACCTGAGGTCAGGAGTCCAACACCAGCCTGACCAACATGACGAAAGCCTGCCTCTACTAAAAATACAAAAATTATTCAGATGTGATGGTGTGCACCTGTAGTCCCAGCTACTCGGGAGGCTGAGGCAGGAGAATTGCTTGGAGCCCAGATGCGGAGGTTGCAGTGAGCCGAGATCGCACCACTACACTCCAGCTTGGGTGACAGAGCGAGACTCCATCTCAAAAAAATTTGAGAAAAGGAAACAAAAACAAACAAGAAACAGAATGTGGCAAAATTGCAACATCTCCGAAAGCTGTGCCAAATGCACTTTCCCTGTCACATGACTGCAGATGGAAGGGCGACCGGAGGACTCTCCATAAACCCAGCTGAGGAAGTTCACGCAGCAGGCCAGGCAGCCAGGCTGAGGGCTGGACACAGAGTGATTCCAGGTGTAGAGGCCACATTAAAACAGGCCATTTTCATCCCACTACTGTCACCTTCCCCACCAGCCTATTTTTTTTTTTTTTTTTGTACGGAGTTTCGCTCTGTTGCCCAGGCTGGAGTGCAGTGGCATGATCTCCGCTCACTGCAACCTCCACTTCCTGGTTCAAGCGATTCTTGTGCCCTTGGCCCCTGGAGTATCTGGGGTGATTTAACAGGCTGTGCATCCACCACATCATTGGCTAATTTTTGTACTTTTTTAGTAGGAAGAGGTTTCACCATGTTGGCCAAGGCTGGTCTCAAGCTTCCTGACCTCAAGGTTGATCCACTTCCTCAGACGTCCCAAGTGTGCTGGGATTACAGACGGGAGCCACTGGCCCAGGCTCCCAGCCAGGACCTTATAAGCCCCTGAAGCCCCCGCTCTCCCCTCCCTATTCCACTCTTTCTTTTTTTTTTTTTTTTTTTTTTTTTTGAGACGAAGTTTTGCTCTTGTTGCCCAGGCTGGAGTGCAATGGTGCAATCTCGGCTCACCGCAACCTCTGCCTCCCAGGTTCAAGCAATTCTTCTGCCTCAGCCTTCCAAGTAGCTGGAATTACAGGCATGTGCCACCACTCCCCACTAATTTTGTATTTGTAGCAGAGACGAGGGTTCTCCATGTTGGTCAGGCTGGTCTCGAACTCCCGACTTCAGGTGATCTGCCTGCCTCGGCCACACTCCCCTCTTATGTCCATGTGATCCCCGAGTGCTGGCAGCTCCACAGAACCTCAGCTCCCAGGCCTGTCATCCAAGGCCCCACGAGGTTTGGCCAAATCTCACCCTTGTCAATTCCCGCCACCTCCAACCCCCTTCCAGTTCCAGACTTCTCAGGGGTCTCCTTTCAGTTCCTTTCCTGCCTCAGCTACCAGCAGGGATTGAGGCCTCTACCACACTGTCTATGGGCTGGCGGAGTTGTTTTACCTCTCTGGGCCTCAATTTGCTCATCTGTGAAATAGGGATAATCGGAGTCCCTGCCTGAGGGGTGGTTGTGAGGTTTAAATAATGCACCTAAAACCCTTAGCACAGTACAGAACGTTCCAGTTGCTACTGAGACCAGCTTTCCTGCTGCCACGGAATGTGACCCCAAGGAGGTGGGAGTCCAAAACTTGAAAGCACCTACAAGGCCTTCCCACCCGGCCTAGAGCCCTTGGTCTGTTCCTGAGTAGTAGCATGAATCAGTGACTGCAATGAGACAAAAATGATCCTGAGGGTCCTAGTGGGGCTTCCTCCTAATTCAGGGACATTTTATAAGCAGCCTCTTGTGTACCAGCGGGTTCTCAGGGACAACCCTTACCCCGGTGGTCAGTTCTACACTGTAGCAGAATTTTTCACTGTAAGCTCCAGGAGTGCAGGGATTTTTGTCTGGTTTGCACCAGACAAATATCCACAAATTTCGGTTGAATAACACACCAGTATCAGCTTCAAATAAAGAAAACAGGTTAGAGAGGGCCTGGGGCTTCTTTCTTACGTGGGTGACCAGGGAAGGCTTCTCGGAGGAGGAGACAATTGAGCAGCGATCTGAGTGAAGCGAGCAGGTGCCTGCCGGGAGCCCAGTCCCATGCAGAACGCTCCAGGTGGATTCCCTCATGCAGACCCACCCAAATGCTCCAAAGCATGTGTGGTGTTATCCCCTGGTTACAGATGGGGAAACTGAGGCAGGGATGACTCACAACAGTCATTGCAAAGCCAGGATTTGGCCCAGGTTCTCCCTCTGTCTCCAGAACCAAGGCCATAGCTACAGCTCTGTGACAGCCACAGAGAAAAGGCCAAGTTCTCCCTCGGCCTCCCCCTCTTTCACCATCTGGAAGTGAGGCCTTCAGAGACAGGTTTGTCAGACAAGGCAGGATAGTGGCCTCCCTCCGCGGTCCCAGGCCACACGGAGACCTTGGATTTGCTTTCAGTTTGGTGAATGGGAAGATGGTGGCTGGGTGGATGGGTAGGGCTCCCTGCTGGGACTGTCCTTCTCAAAAGGACGTCTGTTGTTCTGCAACTTTGCTCCGGCCAACAGAGGTCACAGCCCCGATTCAGCTGTCTGGCCCTTCCCTGCTGGCTCTGCTCTGGGGACTGGCACAGCCGGGGCCTGGCCCTTCCCTGGACAATCACAGAAAACAGCTCATGCAGGAGGGCCAGCCTGGGGAGGGGCTCGGGGCAAGCGGCTGAGGACTGTGCTGCATTCAGGACACAGCAGCTATTTCTCTCAGAGGCTGTGACCCTGTGGGGTGGTGGCCGGACCTTGTGGCAATCCAGACCATTGGGGTCGCTGGTGCCTCCTTCCTGTTGATCCTGTTTCCCTGTGATGAACACAATTTACCAAACAGAACAAAACCCCAGAACAACTATGGCACCCTAACTTCTGTCGGACTGTGTTAAGTATTTCCCACACGTGCAGTCATTCGGCCTTTAGAATTCTTTGAAACAAGTAGGATTGACTCCTGCCCCATTTTACGTACGGGGGACCCAGACTTGATGAGGTAGAATGACTTACCCAAAGCAGTCATTTGCCCACTTATTCATTCATGCAGCGCAAAAAGGATTTACTCCGCATCTACTGGGTTTGTCTCTGTTCCAATCTTCCAGCTAGTTTGTGGCAGGGCTGGAGTTCGTGCCCACGGCTTTCCCACCACACAGCCAGAGCTCCTGGACACAGGTCATGGGGCCTCCCCACTTCTTTTTCCATCTAGGGGTTAGGCCCCCTCTAGGCGTCCCTGGGCCAGGAGGAGCCTGGCTGTAACACCCACTGTGCTCTCTACCTGTCCCACCCACAGGAGAGTGAGGACGCGGTCAAAGCGCTGGCCAAGGAGAAGGACCTGCTGGAGCGTGAGAAGTGGGAGCTGCGGCGCCAAGCTAAGGAGGCCACAGACCACGCCACGGCACTGCGCTCCCAGCTGGACCTCAAGGACAACCGGATGAAGGAGCTGGAGGCCGAGCTGGCCATGGTGAGAACCCTCCCCACTCAGGTGGGCCTGGCATCTGCTAGCAGTGCCATGCTGGGAGCCAGGATGTCTGGCATCGACTCACTTCGGAGACCTAGGGTGGGGTGGGTGGGGCAGAGCCGAACACAAGCAGAGGGGCGGGGCCCGCGGGGGGAGGGGGCTTTCTACAATGCACCGTAAGTGTCCCTCCAAGACCATGCCCCCAGAGCCTGGGCCAGGCTTTTATCCACCTGCCTTGGGCTCAGGGGATGTGGAGATGCTGGGAAAACACTCACTTTTCCATACACCCCAACCTACTGTTAGGAAAAAGAAGGACAGGTGCGATGGCTTATGCCTGTAATCCCAGCAGTTCAGGAGGCCGAGGCGGGCAGATTGTTTTTGAGCCCAGCAGCTTGAGACCAGCCTGGGCAACATGGCAGAACTCCTTCTCTACCAAAAAATTCAGAAAAATTAGCCAGGCATGGTACATGCCTATAGTCCCAACTACTCCAGTGGCTGAGGCAAAAGGATTGCCTGAGCCCAGGAGGTGGAGGCTGCAGTGAGCCACTGCACCCAGCCTGGGCGACAGTGAGACCCTGTCTCCAAAAAAAATTTTAAAAAAAAAAGGAAAGGAGAAAAAATTTTTGTTTAAAATATACGTATTTGCTTAGGAAAATATTTGGGGGGAAATACATGGAAATACTAACATTCATTCTCTCAGAGTGGTAGCAACTTTTATTTGTTTGTTTATTGGCCTCTTCTCAAATGTCTGTGCAGCAAAAATGTCTTACTTGGGTCATTAAGGAAACAAATAATTTTTTCCTAACCCAAACCTTGCAGACACTTTGTGTTCCCAGGAGATGCATAGCCTTTGTGTGTGGGGACAGAGGGTCCGGGTCGGGAGAGAGCGCCCTGGAGGTCTGTTCTGCCTGCTCCTGTGTGACCTTGGGCTGCTCACTCAACTGTTCTGGGCTTCAGTGCCTTTTACTTGTTACTGCGCTGGGAGTGGGGTCTTTTTTTTGAGACAGAATCTTGCTCTGTCGCCCAGACTAGAGTGCAGTGGCACGATCTCAGTTCACTGTAAACTCTGTCTCCTAGGTTCAAACGATTCTCCTGCCTCAGCCTCCCAAGTAGCTGGGATTACAGGCACCCGCCACTGCTCCTGGCTAATTTTTGTATTTTTTAGTAGAGTGGGGTTTCACCATCTTGGCCAGATGGGTCTCAAACTCCTGACCTCATGATCCACCTGCCTCAGCCTCCCAAAGTGCTGAGATTACAGGCGTGAGCCACTGTACCCGGACTGGGGTCTTAATCCCACCCTACCTTCCCCATAGGGTGGCTGGGCAGTTGCAGGGAGCTTGTGGCTAGAGAGGCCTCCAGAGGCTACCAGGGGCTCAGTGTGACAGAGGCCCGGAGGAGAATGTGGGAGGAGCTCCTGAAGAGTAGGGGCAGGGGAAGGACGTAGCTCTTAGAGGATTTGTTGTCCTGCAGAGAGCTGATGCCAGCTAACAGTGTGGTTACAGCCATGTGATCTGGGTTCGAATCCAGCCCCAGGTGCTTCCCAACTGTGTGACTGAGCCTTCACCTCTCTGGACTCCATATCCATCAACTCAAAACAGAGATAATGGCATATAGAGTTGACTCTTAAACAACACAGGGCTTAGGGGTGCTGATCCCCTGTGCAGCTAAATCCATGTATAACTTCTGACTCCCCTAGACCGTAACTGCTCGTAGCCCACTGTTGACCAGAAGCCTTACTGAGAACAGTCAGTGAGCACATCTTTTGTGTGTTAACTGTCTCGTTTTCTGTATTTGTATTAGTTCATTCCTGCACTGCTATAAAGAAATAGTTGAGGCTGGGTAATTTATAAAGGAAAGAGGTTTTGTTTTGTTTTTTTTTGAGACGGAGTCTCACTCTGTCGCCCGGGCTGGAGTGCAGTGGCTGGATCTCGGCTCACTGCAAGCTCCGCCTCCCGGGTTTACGCCATTCTCCTGCCTCAGCCTCCCGAGTAGCTGGGACTACAGGCGCCCACCACCTCACCCGGCTAGTGTTTTGTACTTTTTAGTAGAGATGGGGTTTCACCGTGTTAGCCAGGATGGTCTCCATCTCCTGACCTCATGATCCGCCTTCCTCGGCCTCCCAAAGTGCTGGGATTACAGGTTTGAGCCACCGCGCCCGGCCAAGGAAAGAGGTTTAATTGACTCACAGTTATGAACGGTTGTGGACGCCTCAGAAATTCATAATCATGGTGGAAGGCAAAGGAGAAGCAGGTACCTTTACAAGATGGCAGGAGGGAGAATGAGCACAGGAGGAACTACCACACGTTTATGAGCCATCAGATCTTGTTAGAATTCTACCACCATCACGAGAACAGCATGCAGGAAACCAGCCCCATGATCCACTTACCTCCACCTGGTCCCTCCCTTGACACGTGGGGATTACAATTGGAGATGAGATTTGGCTGGGGACCCAGAGCCAACCATGTCAGTATTCTTTGAATAAAGTAAGCTAGAGCAAAGACAATGTTATTAAGAGAATCAGGCCAGACGTATAATCCCAGCACTTTGGGAGACCAAGGAGGGTGGATCACTTCAGGTCAGGAGTTCGAGACCAACCTGGCTAACATGGTGAAACCTCATCTCTACTAAAAATACAAAAAGTAGCCAGGTGTGGCAGTGGGTGCCTGTAATCCCATTTACTCGGGAGGCTGAGACAGGAGAATCGTTTGAACCCGGGAGGCGGAGGTTGCAGTGAGCCAAGGTCAAGTCGCTGCACTCCAGCCTGGGCAACAGAGCAAGACTCCGTCTCAAAAAAAAAAAAAGAGAATCATAAGGAAGAGAAAATACATTTGCTATTCATTAAGTGGAAGAAAAGGATCATCATCAAGGTCTTCATCCTCGTTGTCTTCATGCTGAGTGGCTGAGGAGGAGGAGGAGGGAGAGGAAGGATTAGCTTTGCTGTCTCAGGGGTAATGGAGGTGGAAGAAAATCTGCCGATGATTGGACCCATGCAGTTCAAACCCACGTTGTTCAAGAGTTGACTGTGCTTTGTAGGGCTCTTGTGAGGATTTCCAAGAAATAAAGCAGGAGAAGCACTTGGCACTGGGCCCGGATCCCTGGACGTGGTAACCACAGCAGGATGGTTTACTAAGGACCAGGCCCCCAGGGCAGGCTGGGGCCAGATCCCTGGACCTCTCCTAGGTCTCCTTGTCCAATGCTGACCCCTAGTGGTGAGAACTACTGAGCAGGAAGAAGCTGCGGCGGCAGGGACTTCTGGGGTCTGGGGGTTCCCACCAATGGAGTTGATAATACTGGAGGCCCTGCTGCTACGTGCAGCCCAGACAGAAATCTTTCAACTTGCAGGCCAGGGAAAGGCCCCTGTTCTCCCAGGTCTTCCTCATGACTTGTGGACAGACAGATGTGTCTTCCTTCCTTGGAGTCCTGGCCTTAGGCATCCAAGGATGCCCTGGGTCTTTCCAGCCTAGGATCCAGCTCACCCTGGCTTCCCCTCCCATTGTTTCCATTCTGGCCAAGAAAACTCAACTTCTGGCCTCCTTCTGGCAGGCATCAGATGCATCTGCCCGTGTGAATGTTGGCAACTCAGGTTGATTGGTTTATGTTCATGTTAACAGCACAGGCAGTGTCTACCCAGGGCTTGGAGGCAGAGGGAGGGGGCTTCACGAGGAGCTGTGACGGCCCCAGTCTTGTTGGTGTGTCCACCTGATTGCAGCTTCCCTCTATTGCCCACCATCCCTAGAGTTTCACAGCCAGGCCATGTTGCCTGCAGGCCCAGCTCCCCCACTGCACGGCTGACCCTTCCTCGGGGGATGCCTTAAGTCCTGTGTTGCAAGCAACAGGAAGCAGCTGTGCTCTGCCAGTGGAAGCATAGAGGGTGGGTTGGAAGGAAGTCAGGGTCCACAGGTGCAGTGGGGAGGTGGAGGGCGCAGCTTAGCAGTGGCAGAAGCCACGGCAGCTGCAGACCAGGTGTGGTGGCTCACACCTGTAATGTTTTGGCTTTGGGAGGCCAAAGCGGGCAGATCACTTGAGGTCAGGAGTTCGAGACCAGCCTGGCCAACATGATGAAACACTGACTCAACTGAAAATACAAAAATTAGCTGGACGTGGTGGTGGGCACCTGTAATCCCAGCTACTCGGAAGGCTGAGGCAGGACAATCGCTTGAACCCAGAAGGCAGAGGTTGCAGTGAGCCGAGATCGCACCACTGCACTCCAGCCTGGGCGACAGAGCAAAACCCCATCTCAAAAAAAAAAAGCAGCGCCCCAGCTGCAGGGGTGGGGAGCCAGGCCCGGGGGAATGGTGCGCTCAGCAACCCCTGCAGCTAGGGGGATGTACATGTCGCTCTTGTCTTCTGATGAAATCTTACCTCAGTGAGGTCCATGCAGCATGCCCAGTGCCCCATCTTGGGCCGCTTACTTGCCTCTTACCCAGGGGTCCTGGCTGTAGCCCCTGGTGCTGGGCAGTTCCCTCTGTGGCAAAGCTCACACCTGCCGGTGACACAGAGGCCACTGGGAAAGCAGGTATTGGGGAAAGAGCCCAGACTGGTGCCAAGTGAGGGGTGAGCGGCCTGTCAGGATCCAGGCATCGTCCCTCCCCCTGTGTCCGGAGGCGCCAACTCCAGGCCGCCCCACACACCCTCTTCACTGCTTCACTCAGGGAAAAACCAGAAAGACATTTGCTTCTGCAGACGTTTCCCAAGAAGCAAAGCCCTCTGCTGGCATTTAGCAATGAACATGGGCACCCTGAGGCCCGCCCAGCCATCCACCCTTGCTGGGAGCATTTCCTGTTAAATCCTGATCCAACCAGGCATTACCACCCACACGGCAACTTCTCTGTAACCACATTGGCCCCATGGGACCACGTGTGCGTGTGTGCGCGCGCGCGTGTGTGTGTGTGTGTGTGTGTGTGTGTCTCAAAAATGTTTATCGACATAGAATGTCAAGGCCCGAGCCCACCTGAGCCTACCGTTGCCCCCGCAGGAACCTCCCCTCCACGGCCAGAGCCTGC